ATTACAAGTTTTTAATTATTTTCTGTTTTTTTTTTTCTGCCTCTCTAAAAACATGACTTCCGGATGCTATTCTTCGTGTGTTTTGAATAGCTCTGTTTGAACACTTGCTTTCGTTGCGGCCAGGCATATTCTTTGGTAAGACAGATTCAATACGAAAATTAAATATCTGCATTTCGTAACTGAAGCTTAAACAATCGTAAAAACCAAGGTAACAAAACGAGTATTGTTCAACGGGGAACAAACCTCTCGTTATTGAGGCGATCTGTTTTGAATTGAGGTTGAAACGATAAACTTATTCACCTGAATGAGTCGGAATTACTCTATAGTAACAGCTCAGGATTGGTGTTTTGATAATTGAGGAACGCTACAGTCGCCGTGAGAGATTCAAAAATAAGTTTGAGACCGCAGGTTCAGAGGAGAGCAGTCGTTTTGATCGATTTGTCCTCTTGTCTGTACAAATCGTGCTCAGGTGTCGCAGAGGGACTATTTGGGCGGAGGAGTATGCAATAGGTGATGCGCGGGGTTTTTGACGTCAGCAGATCAATAACAATGCAATCTGGTTGTACTGTGTCATACGTGCGGTTTATCCTGGGCAATGAGAGTGGAATGATATGGGCCAATCCCTTTCGTGTACAATGAATGAATGTGAACAAACGAATGCCGACCGCTTCTGCAGTGGCTAGGTTGTGCAAGCAAAACGATCTAGATGGGTGAGGTAGTACTTGGTAGATCGATTTCAGGGTTGATTCAAATTTCACGTGACGAACCGAGTCTGCTGGATGAGTGAGACTAGAGCATAATATAACACTTGTTCCGTCGTGTCAAAGCCAGAGTAGACGGTGCTTTGAAAGTCTACCCCCATTTAGACATTTTACTACCTTATATAATCTGTAAAAGTTGGAAAAAGATTCAGTAGAAACAATCGTTCACAATTGAGTGTGTTTTCTCATGTCATGATCGACATATTCTTGAATATGGAGTTAAGTTACCAGAGTATTCTTGATTGAGAAGGACACAAACTAGAGTGGTTTTAATTAGATCCTATGAATTTGCTTCACCTTATACATATATATATATATATATATATATATATATAATCATTAGGCTTAATGGAGATTTGGCAGCTAGTTCAGTGCCCGCACGAATTCGAAGGAATCTTACCTTTAGGGAACTCATCCATTAAATTTTGCAGAGTTTGAGCAGAAAAGTCAAGTGACGCGCACTGGACCGGGGAGTGGTCATACACACATACTTATGGATAGTTTCGGTAAAACATAAAGCACATTGAAGAAATGGGGAAGTGTAGATAAGTTATATGTGATATAGTGCTCTGTGTTCATGTGGCGGTCCACTGATTTCGGTCATCATTGTGGTAAACTGCGAATCAAGCTTTCGAATCTCAACAGCTCCACTTATCTCCTCCGGCACACTCTGATTGCCTACTACCCATTTATTCCCAATTGTCCGTATATTTATTTATTCAGTAAATAAAAGGAAGTAAAAAGATTGAAAAATTTCGATTATTGCATGCCACTGATTAAAGCCATGATTGATTGCGGGTCGAATTTAAGTCCTTTGGAAACGGAATGATATTATCAGCGATGATTTAGTTGTTGCACTGAATCACTGGCACCACATGGTGGTTGTGAAACCGCTGGCCGTCGAGTAACCTCCACAGACCACAGTGTGGTTCACATGCACCTGTCAGTCGGTCCAAGTTGATGTTAGGTCCCGTTTTTCACGAGCTATCTTCCGCTCATTATGAATGGTTGTCGTCGCCTCAATGCATGCGTAATAGTTCAATGAAAGGCGAAGGAAAAATACGTGAATGCAAAATGACTGATTTTGGGAAAACAAAACGAAGTTCTTATGAAATAATGTATCTTTGTTGATCTCGCTTGCAAAACACTCCAATCGTATCTGGTTGGCAGAGGAATGGAAGCACATGCGACCTAGTCTGACAGTTTGCCCCTGATTCACACGGTGCATCGCATTATCGTTTGTGTGAAAATACAAATAGCGGCTTCACAGACACTAGTTACAAGTGACTTTAGCCATCACGATCCTCGTGTATAAAACGGCCTGGATTTGGTTACGGAATCTTGGCGGGCCTGGAATAAATTCACCTAGGATGAAGCAGGTAAAAATGGTGATTTGCATTTAACATATGCTTATGAGTAGCACTGTAGATGTATGATATCGATTTGAAATGACCATCCTCCAGACTTCTCACACCACCCGCAGTTTATTCAGTCACTTTCACCCTCAGACTGAAAAGGGCAATTATGGTCAATCCCGGTGTGAGGTGATCGATCTAGTGGTATCACACAGGCATTATGGGATACTGATTTGGAGGTCAAACCTCCGGTGGAGGACAGTGAATTTACATTACTGAGGAGCTCTAACAAGAACGAAACTGGATTCGACTGTTGGGATTGGCCGGATGAACTTGAAACTGTGCGTGAAGATGGGATCTGAAGGATGGTCATTCTAAAACAATAAATAGTAACAGCCTTTGGTGTCTTCTGGTTTGCTGATNTAATTATTGTCATTTTGCTTACTCTCAAACGCTGATGATTGATATCAACTAAATATTTTGGCGGTTTTCGAGTTTAAACGGCGAAAGCGCAGCATTATGTCCAGTTACTTTGTTGCAGCACAAACTCGCAGAAATCCAAAGTACACGAAACTAATTAGGATGTAAAACCACTTGCGGAGTCTGGCACTGATTCGGGTGGTCGATGAGCCGATTGAGCTACTTGTTGAAATAACTGCGGTAATTCGGATAGCACACTTCGAGCGCGCGTAATCAGCAATGAGTGACCCGGGGTGTTTGAACTGAGCGACTCAGTGTGGTCAGCCTAGCCTGTAACTCACTCGGAGACGGATAAATCGTCAATCGCAAACAATGGTCTTCTTTGTCTCCTGACGACATACTGTTTTCCTTTTTGCTTTTAGTCTATTCTCAGTTCCACTTTGGTGTGCGACCTGATAATCTAACTGCTTTATAATAATAATAATAATAATAATAATAATAATAATAATAATAATTTTTTAACTCCAAGCTGCTAATCGATGATCTAACTATCCAACACGAGTAAGCAGAATTTTCATGGACAGATCCTTCAGACCAAGGCGATATGATTGAAGCCTCTTCTCCTCGTTTTGTGCTATTCGTTTTACCAACAGAGAATTTTCTCTTCCTACCGCTGTCGCACTAAGAGATATGTGGAGGCTAACAGTGCGGGGAGTTGGAAAACCTGACGCGTTGCCATTACATCCTACGTGCATGGAGGAGACAATTCATATCGTCCTGCCCGCTGAACGTACCAATTGTTTACAAGCATTTCATTCACAGTCGAGGTGACATCTTCAGTGCTTATGGCATAGGGTATTCCGCCTTTATTTCTTCAGTAATATAGGTTTTTCTTCAGTGACTGTTTTGACTCCGTTGAGTTTAAACTAGTTTGCTGTTGAACCAAAGAATATACGGGGTTGCTGCCACGTCTGGAGTGTGGTTTTCTGGTCTGTTCTCGGGTCCTGACGTGAAATCTTTCGTGCTGTCATTTGATCCATGAGTTACGCTTATGGATCCACGTGATCCAATTCGATGCACCTGTTTTCTGAGTTGATCAACAAGCGATAAGCATCCAGCAAATATCTGGCTTGCTTTGACCGATAATTCTCACTCATTCGAAACTAAACTGATGATGATGATCTTTGGGAAAGGAAACGAGTAAGATCTGATCATGCCTTCTGATCAAAAATTGATGTTCACGGATACGTGTTGATAATTTTCTTCCAGTTTGTCTGATGTAGTATTTTGGGCAGAACTTGAAGTTTATTCTGTAAATTACAATAATCTTGCCTTTCTCCACTGTTTTTTTCTTTGGTTTTGAAAGAGTGCTCTCAAAGTAGAGTGCTGGGTTTGTGATCGACTTCGCTTCCTTATAGTTTGAGCAGTCTGGCCGATATTTCCTAAACGATAAGGTTATTCTTAATCCAGATTAAGGGTCTGTTGCTTGTTTCCTTCTTTGGGTCAGAGTTCATTTGATGAAAATGCGGGAGTGGCTATTGAGTGCAAGTACTCTGACGAGATACCTTTCTTCTTCCGCCATTTTGAGTGTATCGGTGGTGCACAGTGTTTGGATTCTTCCGAACATGAACCCGATACAGCATCGTTTGTGGCTGCGTGATTGATTACTTTTGAAATTGCTGCTTCGATCCGCTTGCGTTGCTTTGTGGTAGCAGATCCTTGTCCCTAGCGTCTCCAATGTCTTTCAGTTTGATTATTCTTTGATTGATTATTATTTAAAAACGCACTGATCGGCAGCTGCTCGGTGGTAGACCAGTGAGTAGGTAGCGTGCATTCGTTCTGTTTGTGATTCCTCAGTTTAATTCCCCAGTCGGGTCGATGGATTTACGCACGGCTTCTGATGATGAGACCCAATCAGGTGGAAGCAGCTGTTCACTAGCGCTTTCTATCCTTTCAGTTCACGCTTAGGTTTGCGCTGTAGATGGTGAAATAACCTATTTGATCGGCTCAAATCCTGCACCAGTCTCGTGTATCAAGAAGTAAATTTAATTCAAAGTTCCAAATCTACGTGACTCAACTAGCTCACATCGTCCCCGATGTGACCTATAGTTAAGCATATCAGACATTTATTAGTTCCGATTTCAATATTATTTTTAGCTTTCACATTTTATGCTTTGTTTACAGTGTGTTGTCGCTTCCTTGTCATATTACTGTTTAGGAAAACTTTCTAATGCATAACAGTACTGAAAATGAACCATTCATAGTGCCTGAAGCTGCTTTTATGAATGAACATGACCTGGACCTTCTTGTAAGGGGTACTACTGAGGTCGATCGTCTTCAGTCTTTAGTCTTCAGGATTGAGGGCAGAGGGCAGGGTGCCCGTGTAAGCCCCATCACCATTGGGT